GACTTTCAACCATATTTCCAAATAGATTATATGCCAAAGTGTATTTGGTAAACGTTTGACGGTCTCCGATGCTTTCGTTTTCAATACAGACGCCTTGAAAGTTGCAACTTTGCCCAAAAATGACCATTTTGAGCGATTTTGAGAAATGATTTTCTCCATGGAAACGGCGCAATTCTGAAGCCCCCTAGTATATATAATTTCATGTTCTCTTTCGATCTATGCAAGGTCAAGCCCGCTGACTTATTTCGTTCAGGAGCTATACGGATTTTTTCGAGAGCCCCGAAATCGGTCAAATGACCTCCAATCATTCTAAAAATGGGTCAAGATAGGACTAATCGGCCACGCTGAGTCTAGTGGTAATATTTATTTTTAGTTTCACCATCAAACCACGGGCAAAAAGGTGAGAAATTATATCTGCTCAAGGCAGTGTCGAAAAAGCTTCACTCTCTAAAAAAAGCGGTGTTTTGGAAACCCAGACTGGCTCAGAAACTGACGGAGTGGATTGTCATCACAACAAGACTGCAATGAAATGACATAGTGAAACTTCGTCTATATTGTGCATAAACTTAACGCGAGCAACTGCTTTGTGTTTTCATACTACGTGTTAAATAAGCTTTTTCGAAGTTATACCCTCGCCTCTCACTTGCTTTACAATGTTTTTATACTGTTAAAGCACAATGTTATGGTGTTTCTTTTTGTCCTTGAGTAATGGAGATTATCTATGTGTCAACAGGACGATGAAAAAGAGAAAGAAAAAAGCACGCACTTTTGTCCTCAGATACGAGGTGATAAAATTGACTCAGTAAGTGATTATAAAAAGGAGAAATCATCTTTTCTACAGAATTCACACGATGTCTTTTCTGAATCATCTCGTCGGACTTTTAAAAAAATTAGCAATATTCATTTTGATTATAGCCATTGCCATTCCTCTACGGTATGGCTCCACAAACCATCAATATCTTCGTCTTCGTTTGTTTCACTCTATGCTATCGCTGAAACATGCCATCATGCCAGATTATGCTCGCCCGACCCTTAGTGCAGACTATCGAGCTTTTGAAGAAATAATGCGTATGACACCGTTAGCACAACTTGATCCAACGGCAGATATACTTACTATAATCAAAGAATTACGTTTAGCCTTTACAATGGGTACGACTGTTCCTAAACCATCACAGTGTCAACTCAATAAAGAAGTATTTGAGCATGATGGACATTCGGTAGATGCCTACTGGATTGATTATCACCAGAACAATTTTCAAAAAAATTCTGATAAAATAGTACTCTACTTTCATGGTGGTGGATATATGTTAGGTGATATTCATAGTAAGTCATATTTGTTATGTTCAGACAGAAGATCAATCTGTTTTTTAAATATTTTCACAGGCTATAGTGGGTTTGAATGCCATTTGTCTCGTCTATTCAATGTAACCATGCTTCATTTGGAATATCGGCTTTGTCCGGAACATGCATTGCCCGCAGCTGTTGATGATGCAGTTGCACTTTACAATGCACTTCTTCACCATAATATTTCATCATCTCAATTACTTTTTATGGGTGATTCAGCTAGGGGTGGTCTTTCTTTATTAACAGTTCAAGCTTTACTTATTCGTCAACTTCCTCTTCCTCGTGGTGTTATTGTTCTATCTCCATGGACTGATCTTTCAGCGTCTGGGGAAAGTTATAAACGCAATCGTCAAATTGATGTAGTATTTCGCGATATGAAAGAGGACGATGGTGGTACTGTTAAACTAATGTTAGGTCCTAATACTTCTCAATTATCTGCTGATAATCCTATCTTTAGTCCTTTGTTCGGTTCATTTGAAGGATTTCCACCAATGTATATCAATGTGGGTACAGCTGAAATATTAGAAGATGATTCAAAACGAGTTTTAAAAAAAGCACAAGAAGCAGGTGTCGATGTAAAATTTGAAGAAGGTTTACATATGATGCATGTTTATCCAGTGTTTTTTGCTTATTATCCTGAAGCACGAAATACACTTCAGAATATTAACAAATGGATTCAAACACTCGAATCAAATATAGAATGAATACATATATACTTGATTTATTCCCGTTTTCAATTGATAAAAGTGTGTTGTGTTACAATTCTTTCTATTAAATGTCCATTATTAGTTTTTCATTTCTAAACATACTAAACAAAATTTTAAATCCTATAGTTTTGAATATTCTTGTTAGTAAACGTCCAGACCATGTTTTCTTAAAAATATTCATATATTAAAAAGTGCATATTCTTCTCAAACTGCAATTCTTGCAGAAATCTACATTGATATTAGCATCGGTTACACGATATTGAATAACAAACAATGTTTAAAATATCCAACTAAGGCCATAGAATTATTATCCGATCAAGATATTGCACTTCCGTTTGCTTTGCTTGTACTCGGCATTAATCATGAACTTATGGGAGATCATGTGAATGCCACACGGCACATAAGGAAGGCGGAGGAACTTTCCTTAACGATTCATGCTGCAGATCCAATGCAACGTGCCAGAATGGCACTGCTGAATGCGTTTTGGTACGCAAACATTCGAGAAAGCCCATTTAAAATGGCCATCAGTGCTTGTCAAAAGTTTCTTAGTTCTTAGAAACAAGTTACAGAAAACAAAAAAGATATATATGCGTGTGCAGAACAGAAAGAAAAAAGAAAGCAGCGTGGGACAAACATACAGACAAACAGAGACAAAACATTTTAGGGTGTTAGACTCTGATTACAGTCAAAGGATATGGCTTCTAAATGGACTAACGTTGAATTCCTTCGAGAAAAATTAAAAGATCCCACAATTGAGAGCTGCGCATTGGAATCTATGAAAGGAGCAGGTGGAAATAGTGGTGTAATGAATCGATTAATGGTGACCTATAACAACGGCTTAACTACTTCGATGGTTGTCGATTTCATTGCTTTCCTGAGCGTGCTCAAGCGATACCGCCTTCAGCGCCTGGTGTACAACGAGAACAACTGCAGACTAGTCTACCTTGTGATTCGAAACCAGTACCAACAGCGCCACATAATGCTTTCGCAATTTCACTCAAACCTCAGATATCCGTTCGGCGTGAATTTTGATGAAAAATTCAAAACTCGATCAAAGATCACTCAAACTACTCCAGAATATCAACATATACTCTGTTTTATCTATAGCGTACTGTAAAGTTCAGTAAATGTTTTAAAAATCAACAGAAAATATTCTGGTTTTTGAAAGGTTTTCCAGAACCTTCGGAACCAGGAGAATATTTTTTAGTGATCTTAAGTACAGTATCACACTGAGTAGATAAAACAGAGTATATGTTGTTATTCGGGAGTAGTTTGGGTGCGTTTTGACCGACTTTTGAATTTTTCATGAAAATAGTCAAAAATGGATTATTCCACCTAGTAAAGGTTTTCGTTCGGTTCTCCTATTTTATTTTGAAAACTAACATTGCCATGAGATTTAGCATAGTCGATAACCTATGGTTGAAGTTGGTTCTAAGATCGTCAGACCCTCGAAGTTCTGAAGTTTTGTAGAAGACACTTTGAGCTATTCAACCGTACACTTTGAGTGAAAAATTGTTTTGGCTTTGGTATCTGACGACCTCTTCTTGGATCGTTCGGTGCCTTATCTTATGCCAAATTTACTCTCAGTCATTCTATTGATGGTTCCACCGTGGAAAAAAAGTCAAGTCTTTACGAGAATGACAACAACTTCTCTTTTTATCGCTTAATATTTTTTCGCCAAACTTTTAATGAATTATTGTTGAGAATGTCAGGCTGTATACAGTTGGAAGCATAGTGCTAAAAACAAAAATAAGTAGTGACCATTTCCTCTGGACCACACAGTAAACATATTATATAAGAAGTTTCGTTTTTCAGGCATAACTAGCCTTGGTGAAGGCAGTAAAAATAGCAATACAAGCAAAATTGGCCGATATGGTGTTGGATTTAATACAGTTTATCGTTTAACGGATGTTCCCACATTTATTTCATCAGATAAATTTGTTATATTTGATCCTTTACTTAAACACATGCCATCAGTTACAAAACGTAATCCAGGTCGTCAATGTAAAGTAAAACTTCTCGAAAAGTTTTTGGATGTATTGCACACATTTTTGCCATCCAGTTTTGATTTAAGAAATGGCACTATATTTCGCATACCATTACGAGTTAGCCAGTCTGAAATATCCGACAAGGTCTATAGACGTTCACGCATGATCAAACTTCTCTATTGTCTGGTTGATGAACTTCCAACATATTGTGTTGATATTTCATCGACAAGATCTGGTACAAAGTCGTACTTAATTGCTGACGGTGTTGGTTTTACATCAAGTATTCAGAAATCAATATATAAAGATGTTCTCATATAGTTTAATACGTTAGGATGCCTTCGAGTTGGTGCATGTGCATATCTTTTAAACGAAGCATCGATTCCAATGACGCTGGACTCAGTTAACTCAAATGATGAACAAATTCAGCAAGAGACTTTTCTATATTGTTTTTTATCGTTACCAATTTCTTCTAATATTCCAGTGCATGTACATGGTTACTTTTATCTAAGTAATGAAAGTCGATACAATTTGTGGAAAACTGATAATGTAAACGATGTCAGACGACTGTGGAATGAAGCTCTAGCAGAGCATTTATTAAGTCAAGGCTATGTGCAAATTGTTTGTCGTGCAGCTGAACAAGTTCAAAAACACTCATTGTCGATTGAACGATACTTGACATTGTTCGTAGATGGAACAAACAAAGAGAATCTTATTCAGCTATTAATCAAAAATGCATATGAAACATTCTTCAATCAAGATTTATTTATTATCCCAACGCTTAGTCTCCACGTATTTCCACGTATTGAATCTACACGTATTTTCGTGTGGACTTATGCATCGGATTCTAAACTACGTTTTATAAGAAAGTTCAACTTATTTGTTTCCAAGTCAAAAGAATGTAGAGATGAATGTATTACTGAATGTCTTAATTCGTTATTGTTGATTGGTTTGAAAATTTGTGATCGACCGAAACTGTTGGATTTATTAAAAAATGACAAAAATATCATGTATGATCTCAACGCTGTCAAACTATGCGATGAATTGCGTGCATATCGCAGCTTGCACCAGAAAGAAATATTACCAATTGAACGTACAGCAGTTTTGATGAAAAAAAACGTATATACGGCTTGCATAATGTGAAAAGCTTTCGACATTGCCTTGAACAATTTATAAATCCAAGATTGTTAGATCTTTTTGGCACTAAAGAACTTCGAAAACGTTGGTTAAAAGACTTGAAAATCAGCGATCTCTCTGATATCTGACCAAAGGTTCTCAATAACGATACGTTTTACCGCAACAGTGGTGAACAGTTTGTTCAATGCGAGATAAATGTAGACGCTAAACGAGACATGCTGAGTGTATGGTATATACTAGACAAACACTGAGTTTTCCAGGAGTACAGATCAACCTTTTGTCAAGAGATATCGAGTCGTTACACGAAGAAGCATCAAAGTTCTCGTCAAATGAGCTCGATTTACCCCGGAAAAACGTTGAGTTTGTTGCTGAAGAAACACCGAGTTTTCCCGCAGAAAAGATGAAGTTCTTGTGAAGAAGCAATGAGTTTTCGAGAGGAAATGCTGAAGTTATTGTGGACAAACACCGAATTTTCCAGGAGTACAGACGAACCTTTTTGTCAAGAAAGATCTGGCCTTTACAATGAGAAGTATCAAGTTCTCGTCAAGTGAGCTTACCCCGGAAAAATGTTGAGTTTCTTGTTGAACAAACACGAGCTTTCCAGGACACAACATGAAGTTCCTCTGAAAAACCACCGAGTTTTCGCGGAGTACAGGTGAACTTTGTGTCAAGAAACATCGGGTCTTTATACGAAGTAGTATCAAGTTTTCGTCAAGTGAGCTTCATCTACTGCGGGAAAAGGTGGGCGTTTTTGTTGAAGAACCAATGAGTTCTCGGCGAGAAATGAAATGAAGTTCTTGTGATCACAAACACCGAGTTTTCCTGGACTACAGATGAAGTCTTTGTGAAGAACCAGTGCGTTTTCCAGGAGAAAACATGAAGTTCTTCGAAGAAGCACCGAGTTTTCCAGGAAACATGATGAAGTTCTTGTGGACAGATCCTGAGTATTCCAGCAGTATAGCTGAACCTTTTGGCAAGAAACATTCGGTCCTTACACTGAGAAGTATCAAGTTCTCCGGAAGCAATCTCCATTTATCCCGGAAAAAGGTTGAAGTTCTTGTGGACAAACACCGAGTTTTCCAATAGAACAACTGAATATCTAGTCAAGAAAGTACGGGTCTTTAGACTAAGAAGTATCAACTTCTCCTGGAGTGAGCTCCATTAATCACGGAAAAATGTTGAGTTTCTTGTTGAACAAAGACCGAGTTTTCGAGGCGAAATGCTGAAGGTCTTGCGGAGAACCACCGAGTTTTCTAGGAGTACGGATCAACTTTTTTTAAGAAACATCGGGTCTTTAGATGAAGAAGTATCAAGTTGTCGACAAGTGAGCTCCATTTACCCCGGAGAAGAGTTGAGTTTCTTGTTGAAGAATCACCGCGTTTTCCAGTAGAAAGGATGAAGTTCTTGTTAAGATCCACCGAGGTTTTTAGAAGGAGTGATGAAGTTCTTGTGGCCAAACGCGAAGTTTTCCAGGAGTACAGATGAGCTTTTTGTCAAAAAACATCGGGTCTTTACCCCAAGAAGTATGAAGTCTTCGTGAAGTGAGCGCCATTTACCCCGGAGAAAGGTTGAGTTTCTTGTTGAAGAAACACCGCGTTTTCCAGCAGAAAAGATGTATTTCTTGTGAACACCACCGAATGTTCCAGGAGAAAACATGAAGTTCATGTGGAGAACCACTGAGTTTTCGAAGAAAAATGATTAACTTACTGTGGACAAACAACGCGTTTTTCAGCACTAGAGATGAAGTTATTGTGGAGTACCACCGAGTCTTTCAGGAGAAAACATGAAGTTCTTGTGGTCAAACACCGAGTTCTCCAGGAGAACAAATGAGTACCTTGTCAAGAAAGATTGGATTTTTACACTGAGAAGTATCAATTTCTCCTAAAGTGAGCTCCATTTACCCGGTAATGTGAAGTTTCTTGTTGAAGAAACACCGAGTTTTCCAGGAGAAATGATGAAGTTCTTGTGAAGAGCCACCGAGTTTTCGAGGAGAAATGGTGAAGTTCTTGTGGACAAACACTGAGTTTTCCAGGAGAAAACATGAAGTTCTTATGAAGAAGCACCGAGTTTTCTAGGAGAAATGATGAAGTTCGTGTGGAGAAACACCAAGTTTTTCAGGGGAACAGCTGAACTATTTATCAAGGAACATCGGATCTTTACAAGAAGAAGTATCAAGTTCTCGTCAAGTAAGCTTCATTTATATTTGAATGAGTGGTAATTTTGATGAAGGTATCATATCAATAATTTTTATTGGTAACATTTGCTCTTTAGATTCTCCTATTTCATTCCAATATAAAATAGCTGCTTCGTAATCATCAGCTTTTGTTAATACATGCCCAATACAGTTCAGACTATCGGATGTAGGTTGGGCATAAGAATGTTTGTTTTCTTCTTCGAAGTATATTCGACACAATAGACCATTATACTTCTTCCTGCTTATTTCATCTTCAACTACGCTGATAATTAATCTATAAATAAGCAAACGTTCAGATAATGGTATATGATGTTTATCAATTCTCATGTTTTCAATCATTTCTCTACGATATTCATTAATCGGCTCTCATCTTCTTTTAAAAAAATTATCCGGACATCGTGGAACTCATAAAAACCCTCACCTTTTCAATCCATCTTTGGCTGACTCCTGACGGATCTCTATAACGACTAAGACGGCTCTATAAATAGTCCATCGCTGGCTTTCGCAATAGTTATTCCATTGTAAATTCCTTTTCGCTGTTCCACATGTTACACTAGCAGTTGTTGTATTTTCTTCTAAACAAAAAAATAACGTCTAAACTTCAATAAAGATCTTTTTTCTATGCCTAAGTTAGCATGTTTATCGAAGTTCTCTCTTGTGACTCATTTCTACCGTACGTAGTCTCCAAAGGGATACCGCTAAGATGTCAGATCAGTTTGCTAAGATGTAATTTAACATCCATTGGATGTAAGCCTCCACAAAAATACTAAATCGATTGTCTAAAATTTTTTTAAATATAGGGACATTTGCAGTGCAAACATCTTGATGAATTTTCGTGAAAAGCCTGTCGAAAAATCTCGAATCCTGTTGAGATATATTTGAATTTTGTCCAAAACCCTAAAAATCCATCATCTCTGAAAACTGTCAACTTTCAGTTCTTGTAACTTAGTGACGATGCATTATTTTGATCTGAAAACTATAGTGACGACACTAGACCATGTCTGCTACACAACGACCGAATGTGAGTTGCGTGTCATGTGGCGTAGCTGTAGGACAGGCTAAATATGACGTGAAACTAACAATTTCGACTTCTACTCTGTAGGAAAACAGATCAGTGTTTAGATATATGATCATACCAATAGGTAGAGTTGTGTTGGACTAAATATGAAAATATTTTTGAGGACTTCAATTACTCGTTCTCATCGCAGGTGGCTCCTAACTAGGCTCATTAAGCAACATTTTCATATTAGTGAGGTTTAAAGTCGGAAAATTACATAGAAAACATCCAAATACTTCCAGCATAATAGATTGTGTATTGAATGTAGAGAAATGTTGTTGTCAAGGAGAAAACATGCACAAAAGTGTTCTTGTAGGCTTAGCCCATCAACAATAGATGTTCAAACCTTGGAAAATTACTTGGAGAATCATTTTGAGATTCCCTCATGCATAAATTTAAAATAATACAAAAACAACTATCCATAATAAACAACTTCTGATACTTCCAATACTAGTATACGTAAAAGTCTATTTCGGTAACTTGAGTAAATTAAATAATAAAGAAATGATGGCAAATAAAATAGCTATTTGAGTTGGGATCCTTTTTAATAGAGTATCAAAAGCCTTTTTATAGGGGTGCATTTTGAGCAACTCATAACTTCTTCACTAAATATAGGAAAAAGTTGATACACCACCTACTATTTTGTAGAAGAAGTTATGCTCTTTTAAATGAAATATTTCCGAACTGTATCTATTCCCACTATAAAAAGTTATACTTTTCCAAAATATGGTACTTATCGAGAGTAAAAAAAATAAAATGCCTGTAACTTTTCAGAATAGCGATGATGATGTGTGAATTTCGGAATTGTCATCAGCATAGTTGAATTAACAAAATACGATCTATCAAAACTTTATCCTAGAAAGCATACAGAAACCTTCCCATCAAGAACAAAAACTTGTTTTTAGCATTTTGATAAACTAAACGTATCATTTTGTTTAGAATATCATTATGATAATACTTATATGAGAAAAGAATTTAAAAAATTCGTGAAATGAAAAATCACCTTATTTATTGTCCTTCGTTCTCTGTTTTAGCAAGCTCAAACTGAAGCATGAAAATAATCTCTGTATGACTAACATATTATTATATTATAATCTGTTCACTAACGATTTTGCACATCTTTTAACCTCAAAATTCTTCCCTTCTATTCAGATTTGATACATAACTATTTTTGCAGAAACTTCTATGCTACAATTGGCTTTAGTTTAGAAATATGACATTTTCCATTATAATTACTTACTTTCATACCGGCATGCTTTTTTTCGATAAATTAAAGAAATTATTATTGATTTTCTCCAAATTTTTTCCAAAGCATTCAGCTGCTATTTTATCACACACACATGTTTCATAACTACAGGTTTCTATACTATCGATACACTCAATTGAAGATGATGTATTCAGTTTAATGGAATATTCTGTTAATATTCCATTACATTTAGATAATTTGAGAGCTCGATCAAAACAATTTAAAATAAAATTTACAACATAACTCAATTTCATCAACATGTTTATCTGGTTTACTTCCCGAACGACACCTATATTATTAAGAAAAACTATTATTATTAAAATGTATACATT